GATGTGACCTTTTAGAAATATGTGACAAATTATTGTTTATCCATAGCTTGTGATTCAATAAAAATTAAATTATTATAGTTTGAGCGGTACATGGTAGATTACGGACACATATACTGTTTAATAGTATGTTGACTCAACATGTTACTCCGTTTGGAGTAGATACACATTCTGACTTGTTTTATAACTGCAGTTGCCAGTTTATGTTTGGGCCCGTGTTATTTGACTTTACTAAGATGTTGGTAGGCACATACGCTTTCAGACTAAAGTTGACTGCGATTACCATTTCATCTAATTATAATGTGAGTGATGTAAATTAAACATGGATATATTTGCAATCATATAGCGATTTAGATAGCATTTATTGGGAAAAGCGCTTTCCGAGATTTCAATTTTTATTGCTTTGGTAAAATTGTCATCATATGTATTTAGTTATTATTTTTAACATATTTTGAAATCGTTTGTTAATAATAATTGTTTTATTCTTTAGACCTATGAAATATATAACGTGTTGTTTTCAGCACTAGGGCGATAACTGCTGGTGGACTATCAATCCCATCCCCCTTACCCCATACCCGAGGGTATAATCAACTCAGTAGTCAGTAGTCAGTGACATGATTTATAACAAATCTTTATAACATTGTCCGTTTATCAATTTTGAATTGTGGTCGAAGATATGTAAAGCACTATCAAGTTTCGGGATGTTTTCACCGAAAGTACTTTCTAATTCAAAGAAAGCCTTTAACCCCCTTTGATACAAATTATATCGAACAGTAGAAAAACTTACAGGATATGAAAAAAATAACTACTAAATATTTTTATAATTTCTTACATTTTCAATAGGTCACCATCAAAACAAAAGTTCATTTAATGATTTACCACCTTGATCAAACATTACAATTTTTATGTTTTAAAGATTAACCTGAATACATCAGCTTTAACAATACTCTTCTAGTTTGTTTAAACATTTCCTGTACCTTACTGACCAGCAGAAGAAAGAAGCACAACATCATTAGCATACATTAAACAATTAAGTTTTGCCCTTCCTATTTCAGCTGGTACACAGAAAGTATAAAAAAAACACGGTAAATCATTGACGAATATCTTGAAAAGATTCGGATTTCGATTATCCCCTTGTCTAACTCCAATGAAACAAATGTTTTTCTAAAATCTACAATACATAGTTATAAGAAAGTTTAGTTTGCAATACACTTTTCAATTAGAGTATTCAAAATAAACATGTGATCAACTGTTCTTGATCTTTTCTGAAAACCAATCTGTGTTTCAGAAATTACATTAAGCTTAGTTAAATAACTATCAAATCTATTATTAAGAATGGAATTAAATAATTTTCCAATACAACTTATTATTGCAATACCTCTATAATCAGAAGGATTATTTTACGAATTTGATTTAAATATTGGCATAATATACCCTGTTTTCCAATTTTTTGGTTAAAAACCAGTGTATAATATATTATTAACATGATTAAACCGTTAAATGCATAACATTGAAGCAAAATTGACTCACTACATCTGAGCATTTCGTTTGAATATGACTTTCTGAACGTTGTCGTGCTTACAAAAGGCTTACTATTTGTAGAAAGTCTTTATATTGACAATTGAAGCTACTCAAGCTAATACATATTTTTCTTGAACAAGATGTTGATTGTAACTGTATATAATATACGATAGTATAGTCTGATAATGTCTTAAATGTGTCGCTGAAATAGAGTCATCAACTCATATAACAAGTGTCCATGTTGTGCGCTTAATTAAACTATATTGGAATTAACAGATTTCCATTCACATCATGCACATAGAGAAATGTTTCAAAAAATACTTTAAACTTTAAAATTTTCATTTGCTGTCACTGGAAATCGAACCAAATCCCGTATGACTGTTATGTGTTATTGATAGTAAACATATTATCGTGGGATCCGAGCATGTAATACTAATATATGAACAATATATGATAACTCACCAGGGTTTATTCAAGTGATAGCAAATTATACACAAAATACAGCAAATATATATAAGCAATCAATACAATTAATAAACAGTCAATACATGTCGTTGAAGGTGAAGAATCAGAATTTACCATTATGCGCACTACGTCATCGGTTCATGATGAAGTACATATAAAACATGGACTGGTTCAGTACTATATATTGGTGTTCAGCACCACAATATCGACGAAACCTTTCGATTCAAGGTATACATAACGACACTCCTATAACGTAGAAAATACTTATCATAGATACCAGCCTTGTAATTTTCCGCCTACAAAAGACTAATCAGTGAAGCTCTAGTAGGAAGCCTCTTTCGACTAGATGACGTAGATATAAACACTATAGATGACCATACGGCCTTCAAAAATGATCAAATCAATGCTGAATAATAAACTTTAAAGACCACGAAGTGACAAAAATGTAAAACAATTCAAACAAAACACAAACAGCCTGATGTGCGTACAAAAAAGGAAATGATAGACAGCGACCAACAATAACCAATGATTGACAGGCTCCTGACTTATGACGGGAAATATAAAAAAGAAGATGTGGTATGATTGCCAATGAGACAACTCTCCACAAGAGACCAAATGACACAGATATTAACAACTATAGGTCACCGTACGGCCTTCAACAATGAGCAAAGCCCATACCGCACAGTCAGCTATTAAAGGCCCCGAAATAACAATGTAAAACAATTCAAACGAGAAAACTAACGGCCTAATTTATGTACAAAAATTTCATTCTAGGTTTTTATATTTTGTACTTTTTTTCGAAATGTATTAACGGTTTTGTTTTTCCCTTTGTTTTCCTGTTGTTTTTTTATGATTTTTTTTATTATTATTTTGTGTTTTATAAATGTTAAAACCAATTGAATTAGCAGGAATTTTCAAAAGATTATTTTGCCACGAGATTTTTAACCATCCGCAGTTGTTTCGTCCTAAAGGTTTGATTTTAGTTTTTTGGGGAATTTTATGTTGACGGTAAATCCTAGATAGTCCATAAAATAAGACACAGTAATTTTTTTATGGGGCGATTTAGAATTTAAAAAATGTATAGCAACTTATCTAGTGTTAAAGATCGGATTATTTGTCGTTCGGTTGCTGTCACATTGCATATAATACTTTACTTATTCTTCTACTAGAATAGAGAATGGAAGCGGGGAATGTGTCAAAGAGAGAACAACCCGACCCAAGTGCATGCAGGAACCAACCTGGGTCTTCAACGCAGCGAGGAAATTTCGCACCTGGAGGCGGGCTTCAAATGGCCCCTTTACAATAATGAATACATGTACTAGTTCAGCGAAATGGACGCCACACTCAACTCCGAAACATACAAATGTTAAAAACAAAACACACACAAGACTAACAAAGGCTAGAGGTTCCTGACTTGGATGTGCCTTAATATACATTCTCCTGTTTATTTATGTGTACTAATAAGATGAAGTTGGAATGCATTCAAAGTTCAACACTTGCATCTTTACCTTAGTGGGCAATTTTGAATGAAAAATACTTTCCTATTTATATTCCCTACTTCAATAATAGCCCCCCCCCTCCCCTCCCCCCCCCCCCCCAAAAAAAAAGGCGCTTCGAGAACGTTATATAATGAGATCTTTTGGATCTTCAAATAAAACTGTTAAACATTTATCAATTTCTTTTTAGAGTAATAAATTAACAATTTATTCGCGTACATGATAGATGCAACAAAAGACACAGACGTGAACATTACTGAAAAGTTTCTATTTGCAGCCAAACATTAAAAATCATCTTTTTTGTATTTAGTTGATTCGTATTTCATTATTTTCGCTATTGCAATGTTTCGAATTACTAGTTATTTTAAAGACCTTCTTTTATCGATAAAAGATACATGTATAAAAAATCCCTTTATATCCCTTTGATCATATTCATGTTTGGTATGTTCCTTAGAGGTACACATACTGCTGAATATGACTTTGGAATTATATGACAGATTCATTGTATAGTGCCCCTTCTAAGAGAGTTTGGACATTATGTTTTCTGGTCTGTACACCCGTTTATTCTTTCTTTTTAATGTAGTTCGACATGAATTTGTGGTCACATAAACTTGAAACTTCGCACACATGTTTAGTATGATGTGACCTTTCAGAAATATGTGACAAATTATTGTTTATCCATAGCTTGTGATTCAATAAAAATTAAATTATTATAGTTTGAGCGGTACATGGTAGATTACGGACACATATACTGTTAAATAGTATGTTGACTCAACATGTTACTCCGTTTGGAGTAGATACACATTCTGACTTGTTTTATAACTGCAGTTGCCAGTTTATGTTTGGGCCCGTGTTATTTGACTTTACTAAGATGTTGGTAGGCACATACGCTTTCAGACTAAAGTTGACTGCGATTACCATTTCATCTAATTATAATGTGAGTGATGTAAATTAAACATGGATATATTTGCAATCATATAGCGATTTAGATAGCATTTATTGGGAAAAGCGCTTTCCGAGATTTCAATTTTTATTGCTTTATTAAAATTGTCATCATATGTATTTAGTTATTATTTTTAACATATTTTGAAATCGTTTGTTAATAATAATTGTTTTATTCTTTAGACCTATGAAATATATAACGTGTTGTTTTCAGCACTAGGGCGATAACTGCTGGTGGACTATCAATCCCATCCCCCTTACCCCATACCCGAGGGTATAATCAACTCAGTAGTCAGTAGTCAGTGACATGATTTATAACAAATCTTTATAACATTGTCCGTTTATCAATTTTGAAATTAAAAAGAAACTAAGGTTTCAACTCCCTCAGGTTAAGTTGACCTTAGATGGATTTGGCTACTTTTGTTGATCCGTTTTGGTCATAAAGCTCTTCACTGTTTCGATTCTTATAAATCCTTGGCTTTCAAATTTTCGGTTTTGAGCCTTTCTGATGAAGGTAAATCAAAAACAAAACACGCTTCGGATGCATGAAATGTATAACTAGTTGTTTTCATTTTTTAGAAAGACATTGGAGGTAATTCGCTGTTACGAAATAAATGGACAAGCTTCCAGAAAGCTAAACTTGATTGTTTTATTCCTGGAAAACTTCCAGTGTGTCTTGACTCAATACGTATGTATGAATAAAATATCTTGTAATTTTTTGTTATAGCAATGGTGTTTTCATTACAACATCTGGCTCCTGACTTATGACGGGAAATATAAAAAAGAAGATGTGGTATGATTGCCAATGAGACAACTCTCCACAAGAGACCAAATGATACAGATATTAACAACTATAGGTCACCGTACGGCCTTCAACAATGAGCAAAGCCCATACCGCACAGTCAGCTATTAAAGGCCCCGAAATAACAATGTAAAACAATTCAAACGAGAAAACTAACGGCCTAATATATGTACAAAAATTTCATTCTAGGTTTTTATATTTTGTACTTTTTTCGAAATGTATTAACGGTTTTGTTTTTCCCTTTGTTTTCCTGTTGTTTTTTTATGATTTTTTTATTATTATTTTGTGTTTTATAATTGTTAAAACCAATTGAATTAGCAGGAATTTTCAAAAGATTATTTTGCCATGAGATGTTTAACCATCCGCAGTTGTTTCGTCCTAAAGGTTTGATTAGAATCATGCAAACTATAACATAACGTTTGAAATAAACGACAAGATATATAAATACATTGTATCAAACATTCATTTCGATATATAAGAATTGACATTCCCTGTCACCTTAGGCTTATTCCTAAATATATATTAATTAATAATTCATAAGAACAATAAAAAATGCAAATGCACAAGCTATTTTCATCAGAAACAAAATGAATATTCGGTTACAATTGTTTTTCAGAAGACGTAACAATGAGGGACAATGTATTTTATGGATTATTTACGACTACGTAAGTAACTGAATTTTTAAAAACTTCTATGTCGACAAATAAGGAAATTATTTAAAAACCACGGTTCTAAATCCAAATCAAACAAAATTGTATTTAGATGTATTTGGATATGTTTTTATATCCCTTTTCGTCATATGGTTCATTACGTTGAGTATTCTTAGGTTCCTAGCTTTGGAACTGTTGGTTTTGAGCGTTACTGGTGAAGTTTATTTTAGAAGAACCTTTCCGACTCTCCAAATTTATGCAGTTTTTTTTTTTTCATTTTATATGTGCTGTTTGTCACAGTGTGTCCATAATAAAAAGAAAAATAACAAAAATACCGCACTCCAAGGAAAATTCAAAACGGAAAGTCTCTTATAAAATGCAAACCAAAAGCTCATACACATCAAACGAATGGAAAACTACTGTCATATTCCTGACTTTTTACAGGCATTTCCTTATGTAGAAAAAGGTGGATTAAACCTGGTTTTAAACATCTCACTTGTATGACAGTCATATAGCATTCCATTATATTGACAACAATGTGTGAGCAAAACAAACAGACATAATAGGTAAAAAAGTAAAAAATTGGGATACAGCAGTCAACATTGTGTTATAATCTTAATCATTATAAGAACAAATAATTATTTAAACAAAGAAAAACAAAATGGCATATAGACACCTTGTATCAAGTCAGGAATATGACAGTTGTTTAAAGATGAAATGAAATAAAAATCTGTATGAAGTTTAAGGTGTTCGTTAAACTCTAATGGTTAATTTATATATTGCTTTTATTAGATCTGTATCGGAATATGAGACCATTTTTTGGGATAATTTTGCAAAAGAAAATTCTGTTCTGAACAATTTCTATCTGGGCCAAGAAAAGAATCTAGATATAAAGTGTAGGCTCAAATTGGTTTGGTCATTTTCCAGAAACATGGGGACAGAATTTTTTTTTTCGATCTGGTTTGTCTCGAGATATTACGTAGTACATCGCTACAAATGTATTGTCGTATGCAAACATTAAGGGGTTATATCACCTATATATTTTACTTAATTTAGTCAGCAAAAATTTCCATGATTTACCTTTGGTTGTGTTTAAGAAAACTATGACGAAAATATTTGTTTCATACAACATGATAAATAATTCAACGTATCGGAACAAGTACTTAAACGTGACAACCTATCATTGTAAATATGAAGCAATTATGTTCAGAAATACAGGGGAAATAAGTGACGAAACGTTGTAATATTAAAAAAGAAGATAGGTGATATGGTTGCTAATGAGACGAATATCCATAAGAGACAAATATGTGTTGTTGTATTTAATGGTTAAAGAAAAAAGTGAAAAAAAAGATATATTTGTTGCCTGAAGAAACGGACAGGCGAACAAGGTGATTGCATTGAAACATTCATTTTCCGATTTGCAGTATGAAGTATAATTATACAAATTCTTCACCGATATGAGAAATGAGTCATGTTACGTATAATCCCACTTTGTTTGTATGAACTTTTCAGACAGGTCAAAATTTTTACAAATTAGTTTATACCCAGAGTAAATCCTCACAAACCTTTAACAGACACCATCTTATATATTTGTTTATCAATATTTGTGTGGAAATGTTTTTGTTTCCATTATTTTATTTTCCTATGAATACTCATAAATGTATCTCAAACTTTGTAGTAAGGTAGTAAATGTAAACTTTCTAAATATGTATTGGATAAACATGGGACGCATTTGAGTACTCATTAAAACTAATAATATAATTAAAACAAGTGTGTAGTATATGATTCAATTCTAAATTACGTAAGAAAAATACATTTTCTTAAGGTAAAATTTATATTTTGTAATTCAAAACATTGTTTGTGTAAACACATTTTAAAAATCACATGCAAGTACCAGATTTATGATTAATTTATCAATCACAATGTTATTCTACATAGAGAACAACTCTCGTGCTAGTATTAATTAATATGCTTCCTTTGTGTGCTGGTATTTGCGACTTAAACATATTTATGTTAATTGTGCGGATTTTTTTTTATTTGTTGCGGAACAAAAAACTCCACAATTCATGATACCTTTAAATTTTGGTGAAAGTCATTATATTTGAAAGACTTCATGAAAGACTTATTTGAAAGACTTTTAAGTTTGAAATTTAAACTGATGTTATCAGCAATTGCCTTTCTTGCGTTACAAGATAATGGAATTTGAAATTGTAAAATATCAACATATTATAGGTGGTTATTCATGTTTTTTATCGAACACAAGGCTGTCTTACAGTAAATATATATTCTTCCTAATAAAAAAAAAACGATAAAAAACTAACAAACATACAAACCTTAAAACCCCCATTTCAAGACAATTTATCGACCATATTTGGTTCTTTATACAAATCATCAAGGATACCAGACTTAAAATTGTGTACGCCAATCGTGCGTTTCGTCTACAAAAGACTCATCCCCGACCATCAGATGGATGCAATTCTGATTGCGCATGTTCAGCTATTGAAAATAATGTCAACTGAAAAGTGAATCTAGGGAAGCCAAGAGAAAGATTGTCTTCATTTTAACTGTTTTCGGCTTGTAAAAATATTATTGTATTGAAAAGGAAACGGGAGGTCATTTTTATTTTAAAATCATCGATATGAAATCAAACAGTAATATAATCGTCATTCTAACTTGATGCCTTTCAAATATTTTGAGTCAAAACTCGTCGTAAAGTACGAATATATAGTATGTCAGCTGATCGACAACGACTTAATTTGTTTCGGCTCTGATTATCATATTCCCACGTCGTATGCCATTGATGAATGAGTTATCCGAGGTCATTCTGTTTAAAAGACCTTATTAAACAATCAACTATAACCGGGACGCTATAAACCGCATTGTACGGGAAAATGCACGAATATGAAGGTCGTCAACACATGGAAACATAAACAAACGATGATACGCATTTTTTGAACGCACACTTTCTAAAATGAAAGTAAGATTAGTCAAATTTGTTGAGTAATCAAGTAAGTTGGTAAATAAATTAAATCAATACAGGTCTAAACTATTTATTTGTGGCACATCCAACCTCCTTCAATAAACATGAAACAAAGATAAAATCCATCACATCCGATAGCAACACACACAATAATCCTTGTCATAAAATAGTTGCTTCAACCTAACAAGTCTAAGTATGGTATTAAAAATTATTTAAGCATGTCACTGTCTATGTCCAATCAGAATAGGAAATAATCATGGGGCTGAACTTATACTGACTTTACCACGGGTTTTCTCTTGATGCCGATATTCTATCCCTTGCTTTAATTTTCTATCGTGATAAATCATTTGGCGTAAAGGGCCAACCCGTGGTAACATCAATTCAAATTTCAACTCTATGATTTATAGATAATTTTTCCTGAATTTATTTGTTTATATTTATGTATTTTTATTTAAATCAGACGGGGTTATAGCATAACAGTATCAATTTTAATGACCAAATACAGATAATGTCAATTCAGTGACGCTCGAGGCCAAACAATCAAACAACCCAAAACCTCATAAAAAGGTTAAAGAGAAAACAAAAACGAAAACACAAGAAAGGACCAAAAGTAAAAAAAAAGACTAACTCAAACAAGGAACCAGTTTAAGAACTGTGCACGAAAGAGATACATTCCGTGATTGAATATGATTTCTAAAATTTATACCAGCAAATAAAAATATAACAACATCGATTAAAGACAGTTCCAAAGCACTGACTACTGGGCTAATTATACCTTCGGGTACTGGTCTGTCTACAGGATAGGTTAACAGCTGACCTGTCTACAGGTCTTGTCTTGCCAAGCTGACCTGCCCACAGGCCTGATATTGTCAAGCTGATTTTTCCACAAGTCTGTACTTGTCAAGCTGCATTATACCTGTCCTCAAGTCTGGTCAAACTGACCTGTAATGAGGACAAGTCTGATTTATAAGACCACCTGTCATCATGTCTGGTCTTCAGCAGTCTTACAAAAGCAGACATAGGTTTGGTCGGATACAGATAAAGTTAACTTGCAGGTCTGCTAAAAAAGAGAATCAAAGTTAACTTTTGTAAAGGTTAGGACTACACCCATCTGTATACATTTTACGTAAAGGAAAAACCTTAGGTAATTTCATGAATACCAACGGAACAAGGCCTGATGAAACATAAAAATTATAAACTTGATTGAAGGGTCGTATTATATCGTAACAAAACCATTTATATCATTCACCTTTATATTTACAGCACAGGATCATCAGCATCTGCAATATGTGCCTTTAATCTAACAAGCATTGATACTGTCCTGGACGGGCCATTTAAAGAACAAACAACTGTAAATTCGTTCTGGACGGAAGTATCAACTGTTCCAACCCCTAGGCCTGGCAAAGTAAGCAAAGTATACATGTCAACCATGTATGCCTATGAAATTCTGCGATAATCATTAATATTTGTCTATGTATGTTGACTTTGACTTTAATTGTTGAATACGAAGATATTTCAATATTATTGGTTAGCATATTTTGAAGATACAGTAACACTACTTTAAGAATGGTTTAGAATATACGATAGATTTACACAAATTTAAAGAATTCACCCAGCATATACCTCCACATCATTCACGGCAGAGGAGATTTTATATAATCATAAATAAGTCTTACACTCCCCTTTAACCTAAAGGGGACGATGAAAAGCTCCTATATTTATACTCAATACTTAAACTTCATCAACCTATTCATAAATAACGAAATAGACCAGGGTCATCAAGATATAGCTGTAAAATATGCGTTGAGTTCTTACCAGCATTCTTTTTACAGTAAACATTACATTCTAGAAAATTGCAATGAAGCATATTTTACCAGCGGTCTTCATCAGATGTGGATTTTTGAAATTTCAAATGATCTACTTCAAAATCTTCGATCACAATTTTTACAATTTAGCAGTACATGTAATACAAAAACTTGATTTGTGTTTATGGTTTATACTACTTTTCCAAATGATCATAAAAAAGAGTCGTAGATACAATTTCCTTGTGTAGGTCTTGAAAAATCATATTTCGTGAAAGAGAATCATGATGATACCAAAATGATACTGAATAGAATATCCTAATAAATGCTGCACTTTTCGATCGACAAATTCAAGGTAGGACGTTGCCATCAGGACAATCGAAACTTAAAAAAGACAGGCGAAAGATACCAACGGGCCATTTAAATTTATCAGTCAAAATAAACTGACAACGCCATGGCAAAAATAAAACGAAAAAAGACCAAAAGACAATCAACAGTATACAAAACACAACATAGAAGGACAACACGAACCACACTAAAAACAGAGGGTGATATCCATTGTTCCGAAAAAAAATGAGTAGATCAAGCTCCACATGTGGTATCCGTCGTGTTGCTCATATTAGTTCTAACTCATTGATAAGTCTTATTAGGTAGTTGACATTCAAGAAAAGGTAGACGGTTTTATAGTTACGACAATTGGATAATATCTTTCGTCAAATTCGAAACAGATATTCCATAACGGTCAACTAACGCGTGATGGCGACCGTAAAATTAACGAAGGGACGATTTCAACTCGACCATTTGTAACTCATGGTTTAATAGCTTTCTGGTGAGCAGCAACACTCTATCAAGGAAACCATGATATGAAATGAAAGCCCTTGAATATCGTATCAACTGGGAGATATATATTTCATATGAAGGGGCTGCTGAAATAAGTAGAGAGAAACTGACAACTTTATGCCAAAACACGAAAGCCGTCGAAAAGAAAGAAACAAGTTCTCACAAAAAAATGAAGACATATTATTTCATTTTTAAATGGAATGATATTTCAACCAACAGTCGGTACTCCAATGGATTCTTTTTGTGCTGCACTACTGGCCGATTTATTTTTTTCGGGGTATTTATATGAACCAGATTCCATACAAAAACAACTCAAAAATAAATATCTTGCAAAAGCCTTTAATTTCCGAAACCTCCAAATATCTTGATGATGTCCTGTCACTTATTAATCCAAATTGCAGCAAGTGATTACATCTCATATATTTCAGTGATCTGCACTTTAAAAATACTACAGAAACTAGAAGGTATGCTTTATCTTTCAGAGATATTGACCGTTGGACGACTACAAACTAGAATCTTATGTCAATTGTCGTCTTTCCATTTTTCAGCAGTAATAACCCCACTTCCCAGTATATATCTCAATTATAATTGTACGCTCGTGTATGTTCACACTATATTGCATTCCTTATTGGTCACGGCTGACTGATACGATGTATCTGTGTCTCAACTCCATAACAATATGTGTTTGCGGTCTCAAATATCTAGTATAATAGTGGTCATATCTGTAGTTGTGTTTTATTTCTGATTGTGACCTTCTGACTGAATTTGAATTCGTATAGCTGGTGTTAAACGTTGCTTGTCCTGTCAACGCGATAGGTCTCTGTTCTTTTGGATTTCATCCGATTCTCTGGGTATTTAATTTTTAAATCGATGTGTATCTTCTTAATCGATGTACGACATTTGAAAATTGGTAAACTTATGTTGCCTAAATCAACGCACGTACTGTCAGGCATAACTAGATTGCGGTCGTGATTTTCGATAACCAATGTCTCTGTTGGATGGAATTCAAACGTATGTGTTTTTTTATAAACCAAATTAAGCCGGGCAAGCTCGATAGGACACAATCAACCCTACATTTTATATAAATGTAATTGTACCAAAAAAAGAGGCGAAGGATACCGAGGGACATTTAAACACACAAGTCGAAAATAAACTGACAACGCCATGGCTAAAAAGAAAAGGACAAACAAACAAAAGTACACAAAAAACAACAAAGAAAACCAAAGACTGAGCAATACGAAACCCACTAAAAACTGGGTGTGATCTCAGGTGCTCCGGAAGGGTAAGCAGATCTTGCTCCACATGTGGCACCCTTCGTGTTGCTTATGTTAGTACAGACCCGGTGATATGTTTAATTCGGTAGGTCACATTCGGAGAAAAGGGGACAGGATTGTATTTACGACAATTGGAACATATCCGTTGTCATCTGTGAAACGGATATTCCATAACGGGCAACCAACTCATGATGGCGTCCGTAAACTTACGATTCAACTTCACCACTTGGAACTCTCGGTTTAAAAGTTTCCTTGTGAGCGGCAACCCTCCATCAAGGAAATCATGATAGGAATACAAGCCCAGGAATATCGTATCAACTGGGAGATATATACTCCGTATGCAGGTGCTGCTTGAATTTTGCTACTTAGCAATGGGATGTTCACAACTAGGAAGCTGAAATCATATTTTTTTTTGTTTTCAACCGACCATCAATGTGAATTTCTAGATGTACGGCAAGATATGAGGCCGACTTAACTGTATCTGTGGTATCCTTTATCTCAAGTTCGATGGGATAGATGTGTTCAACATAATCACCAAATTCTGAATTATTTAGTGAGGTAACATCATCTATATAGTGGAAATTGAGGCTAAAGGATACTGCTAACTTCTTTTCTTTCTTCCTAGGAAGTTTCTGTATGAAGTCAGCTTCATATGAATGAATAAACAAGTCGGCAAGAAGAGGAGCACAAGTGGTTCCAATGGGAATGCCAATTATTTGTTGAAAAACATGTCCTCCTAACGTGAAAAATATGTTGTCAATGAAATAATCAAGCGTTTTGATAATGTCAGTTTCAGATAATTTTTTGTTTGAATCAGAGTGATTTTTTACAAAGTACGATTTATCGCTCCCTAAGACAAGAAACTCATATCTGCTTAGGCCATTCTTTTTATGAAACAAAGCAAGACCAATTCTTTCAATTTGTCTTTTACTTTGGTTTGGGGAATACTTGTGTCAAGTGTAAAAAGGTAAAATGTTTTAATACTGTTGCAGGAGGAAAGAGTCTTAGATTGAATGTACTCCAAAAGATCATTCAAAATACGTTAGTATCCACATCTGATTCACGCCAACTCTAGAATATGTAGTTTCTCCATAACTTTGAAGCCCGAGTTTGATTACTTATAAAATTGATGTTTAAAATTCAGAAAGAGGTTTCGTGAACCACTTGGAAGACCCAGCAATATAACGTTGTTTGTAAAGACACTTATGTAATTTAGGTATCCAATACAGTGAAGGAAGCTTTGGTTGAAATTCAAAAGGAACATAGAACAGACCTATGATTATCTAGGATTTCCTCTTTGATAAAAGTCGTTGAGATATATGTTGGGTGTCAAAGTTAATTGTCTATTCCTAATTCATGTATCAAGCAGTTTATGTAATGTGATTTACACACAAATACGATGTTGTTTGGGGCTTAATCTGCGGGGATAACAACATATTTGTCATCGAGGTAGGACATGTGTTTTGCAAAATTTGGGTCTTTAAAATTGATGTAGCATAGGTATTCATAGATCCATTCAGTTTTTTTAATTCTGATTTGTATCAACGACCTCACAGCCTTAATCCATTCGGACAGAGTATCTTTGTCTTCTTTCTCGCGCTTAACCCTTACCTGGCATAATCCTCGGCTGAATCCATCAGTATTTTGAAGTTGTGTTTCCAATTGATGAATCTAGGCTCACGATATTTCTGGCCTTTTAAACAAGCGTTTAAAAACAAAAGCTTACTGTCAATAACAAATATTATACGAATATAAAGCTTATTTTAAGAAATATGTGTTTATTCTGCTAATCGGTAAGTCAGTAAATACATTGTTGTGACACATCCGGTTGAATTGAGACAATTAAGTCCGATGTTTTGTTATACGATTACCACGCTTTCTGGACATTAGATATCCAGTACAATGACAGTTTGAGGGGTCGTAGTTGACTGTCCAACATATATTCAGTTTTTAAGTGACAGTCGAAATTCATTGATTAATCTGTTGTTTGATCACTAGTTACAATAAAATCAATCAATTATCAAATCATCGAACAAAAGTTTTATTTTAACTGCATTATGCATTTGATAAAATTTAAGCATTTAAAACATTATCTTGCAAAATTTAAACAAAAATGAATATTTTTCATGAATATTTTAGTGCACAAATGAATCAATGACTCTAAGCGATAGTGTTCTGCAGTTTATAGCAGACCATCCATTAATGCATCAGAAAGTTCAGCCAATGTATGGAAAAGCAATATTTTCCTTAGACGACGAGGAACTCCAACAACTAGAACTAGATAGCAATACGAAAGAAATTGTGTTTTATGCAGCATCAAGTACGCATGAATTATTTGCATAATTATAAAATACTCATGTAAGTTTATCTTTAGCTCTCAAGGTCAAAGGCAAGATTGAGGACGATTGACTAAATATTTTTACAAGATGTTTATTTTGTGAAAGTACACAAGCTTTCACCGAATTGACCCATTACCATTGTACTCTTTTTTATTTGGAAAGTACGCGATTCGGATTCGAATTAGTGTAAGCTTAACGTTTCCGGAACTTAACTTATAGACAGTTTACCTAATTATTGTTTATCGTGTATTAAACATAATTTGTCAAGTGTATAATAAATGCTACTGCTTACAAGTCTGTTTGTATTACAAACTTTCTAATTAGTTTTAAGTATGCTATGAATTTAAAAAAAATATTGCAATTTACATTATGTGTTTTGGTCTGATCGACTAGTACTGAAGCGAGTCGATTTCCAAGGTTTCAAGGCAAAATTCTCAATTTCAGAAGGTTTAGAATATTTAATCGACAGTACTATCTGGGTTTTTTTTAAACTTTGATAACCAAACCTACAACTAATAATAAAAAAGCACTCACAGTACGACAGAGTAAGCATTTTCTGATATACCTCCAAATGCGTATTACTTGTCGATTTCAAAGTCGATCTGGAAAAACAAATGCTACAAAATGAAGTATTACAAAATCTGTATCAATTAGATGATTGCGTCAGAGCTTATGTCGAATAAACATAAACTGAATAAATTCAGAAATTATAGGGGCTTTGTTAGGACCCAATATTTGTGATGCCGATTATGTAATTGATTATCAATCAAACTCTTCATACGGAGATGTTTCTTTTTACAGTAAAACGTTTTGTATAATGATAATAATGGGAACACACTATAACATAGGTACTAAGTCAGGTAACTGTCAGTTTCGCAAATACTGAAGAATTAAGATTATTTGAATAGTCTGTGAGTTTAACAAGGATGTGCTCTTTGTCAACAGCTATTGTTTATAATTATAAGCTTAAGGCTATTTAAAAAATTACTTTTAAAAATGCTTGTCATAGAATGTTATTACAGGTTGTACAATTGCACACTTTTTTTTGATGGAAACTATTGCATAATATGTTAGCAATAAACAATAATCTATATCGTTTGTAAGTAGAAAATAGTGCAAACCGTGAGCTATGTTTCAAATGCAGTAACTATAACCATTTCTTCTATGAATGCATATGGGTTTAAAACTATTGGACAATATGACACACCATTCATGTCTGTCATATTTGTTTTTTCTTGAATTGTTTTGTTATAAATTAGGCCGTTAGTTTTCTCAATTGAATTGTTTCGTATTTTTATGTCGGGGCCTTTTATAGCCGACTATACGGTATAGGTTTTCTCATTGTTGAAGGCCATACGGTTGCCTATAATTGCTTACATCCACTTTATTTGAACTTCGGTGGATAGTTGTCTCATTGGCAATCATACCTCATCTCCTTATTTTTATACCTGTGTATTTTAATATCAGTCAATATATTGTTTTGTCTAAAAATCTTGTAATAGGATATTCAATTGAAGATGTTGAATATAGCATACTTAATCATATTATAACACTTGTTTGTTTACTTTTTGATTTAAGATTGCTTTTATTTATCAGAATTGAGAACTGAATTTGTGAATATGCTGTCAGTCCTTAAACATGAAATTGAAACACACATTTTATATTATCCGCAAATTTCTTCTTGACAAACTTCAGAAGAAATTTTTAGAATGCGATTCTTTATCTCTTTTGTTTTGGAGGGTAACCACAGTTGACAAGTTTAAAGGACATAAAAGGATGAAAAATGTTGATCGAGAACTGCTTAAACTATTTTCTTTAAATACCAGAAATGTTGTATTATATTAATGTATGTCTACAAACTCTACACATTTCATTCTTGTTTGAAGTTGATGAATGATGAGATATTATTTAAGAGACAATCGTAATAAATTCAATAAAACTGACCTTTCGTCGCAAAAATTAGAAACCATGCTTGTTTGATCAATTGTACTTTCTGTTTGAAAACCCGAAATTCAAATCTAAACAAAAGACAGTCAAAATATCGTTTTCGTTTTCCTTGTATCTATGATGTGATACCAAACACGTATACATGTATGTAGATCTACTCTGTAAATTGCAGCTACCACATAATTCATGAATAAAAAAAGGTTGCAAATGAAATCCCCTGGTTTTACTAGGAATTAATAATACAGGGAGGAACCTTATATCTCACGATATCTCAGTAGCATGAGTTCGAATCCCGGCTAGGGAAGAACAAAACATTTGCTTCCGCAAATTTACAGATCTAACATTGTCGGGCTGTTATCTAGACGAATGTTTATACAGAATATGTTTTCAGCCATGTATCACCATCACTGGTGATCCGATGAATAAAATCTGTCGTAGAGTTGTCACTGGTTAAGACGTACTTATAATATAATTATTTCTGTGATTGCATCCTACATTAATTTGTAAGATCCTCTACGATAGATAATTCAGCTGATCTGTAATATTCCCTCTTCTTTATATATATGTATATTTAGATATCGGTTATAACAAAACCAGAAGGACTGTATTTGTAATGTGGGTGGGGATGGGGGTACGAACAAGAACAATCAGGAGGTTTGAATTTAGCACACTTTAAAATGAATGTATACAAACTGAGAAATAATGTTTTACAACAATTCTCCCAAATGAATTGGGTTTTGTTATAAGTAGAGACCAGATCAAATTTTCTTCTGTTTAAGAAAAGAACAAGTGACTGATTATTTATCATCATGAATAATACACCTCCGTAAAGAAAATGAAATCAAAATCATCTTTATCTTTATTGATGAATGATATGTTAAGGAAACATTTATAAAAAATATTCCCGGTAGAAGCTCAAAACAGATTAATAAAGGCAACAGTAGTTTACAGGTGTTCAAAAGTCATAAATCGATTGAGAGAAAACAAATCCGGGTAACAAACTAAAACCGAGGGAAACACATCAACTATAAGATGAAAACAAATGAACAACAGGAACACCAAAGTACAACAAAAAACAAACGCCAACATACACAGAAACGAACTATCAATATAAATAAGACACGACAATTCAGCTGTCAAAATCTTTGAGGTCTGTGAATATAAGATGAATTTGCTCTTTTGAAGTAAGTATGGTCAATCAATCAGAATCTAAGAAAAATTACTAGACGCAGATATATACCATGAGACAACTGGATGCAAAGCAATACTGAATAATTTATGTTATGAAATGAAAAAAGCGAATTAATATAAAACATTTAATTTTGGCAAATTATTACAATGTAATATGAAAAACAATAATAGACGTTGAAGTTAATTCAATCAATGTTCAGCATCATCTGTCAACAACACTTTGTCCACACGTCTATATCCTTTCCGAGTGAAAACGAATCTACAGTCCAAATGTCTATATCCTTTCCGAGTGAAAACGAATCTAAAATCCACATGTCTATATCATTGCGAATGAATACAAATCTAAATAATAGATAGTTTTCGGCTATCAACGGCAAAATGTAAAACTTTTATGTCTTTAAATCACTAGTCAATAAAGGAACCAATCAAAAATCGTTGTTCCAAAATAGACTTCATAACAATTTGTATTATTAGATAAATTTAAAGGACCGAAAGAATTCGAACAGTATAAAGTCAATTTCTTAAATCTCCAGTCGCCAATTACATATTTTTATCAGCACAATGTTCATTTACAAGTCATCACCATAAAAAGTCTGATTTACATTTAATGTCTTTTTTCGTTATCTCAATTAATTAAATAAGAACATTTCAGTTACAAAAATTAAATCGAGAATAACTGTATGATTCGTCTTATTTGTATCTGAGTATGCGAAAAGAATACTCTCATAACGATATAAGAATTCAATTGAACTACATCCGAGCCTACATGAAACTTTCCAGAACAGCAAAAGGCGTCTAATTTTGCTCGAATTTCACAGTTATATTTTTCATTATGATTTTATTTAATTTCATTTTGTTTTGAGGGAGAGTTAATCCCTATAGATTATTATTTACATTAGTCTACAATAAATATCATCGGCTAGAAAGTGAGTGATTCGGCACAGACATAATGTCTGGCGTTTTTTTCTATATAACATTTATTGTAAATAAAAGATTTTTTTGGCTGGAATTTCCGATAATATTTTGTTTCATAATTCCATGTGTGTAATAAGGAATTTCTATGATTAAGTATATCAACATGAGGTCAAGATCTGCATGTTCAATGCATGATCATCTAATTATATTATCTGATTGGTCAGTTCTTGAGATTAGTAATTAATTTCATATTTCTACATGTGCTCGGACATGCGGTCATTCGCCTTTGTTCTGGGAGAGATAAAAGATCGTTTATGAATTTCAACTGAAAAAGTACTGTAGAAAGGGCTTACCAGACATTCATCGAAGAATCACCAGATTATAAGGTAAAAGCGAACCTTAAGTATTATTATTATATGTTTTTCAAGGTTAATTTCTAATTTATTGATTTTATAATAGATTAGTTGCTTTTGAAACATGGTCCGGCGTGCTTTAATTTTTGGTAATTCTTTTATTCGTCGTTTTAAATCATTTACCCATGAAAACTGCAATTGAGGTTGGTTTACTTTAGGTTGAGACGGAACAGATATTCAGGTTGATTATTTTTAGTTTGGGGGGGAGGGATTCTTCGCCCCGGCAATAAATGTGTTCAAAAGCAACAATATATGCATATAATTGAAGAATATAAGCCACATTCGGTTTTTCTTTAGGTTGGAGGCAACGATTTATCGTCTGAAAATGAGCCCGTCAAATTAGCAAGAGATATCAGCGTTTTTGCTATCATGTTAACCACGTGGTTATTGGTCAACTTCTCCCGAGGTATTCCGAAAGACCGGAAACAGATTATAACAACAAGCTTTACGTTGTTAACAAAGAACTTCGGCATTTACTAAAACAAAGAGCTAATGCGACTTTCTGGCATCATAGAGGGTTGTGGAAGAACACCTCAGATTTATTATTAAAAGATAATGTTCATTTTAATGATGAAAGTATGGAAATATACGCTAGAAGTGTTCGTGCTGCTATTTGTAGCCTTTCACGTACATGTAGTGTCGAGCATACTTGCGTTTCAAACTACCGTGTATGATAGTTTTTACTTAGTGTTCCCAATTGGAAGGACATACGAAGAAGTAGAAGCATACAATGCAATTATTTAGTTATCTATGAATTATTTGCATATTATTACTCCTTTACCTTATTAATTTTTTAATTTTGATAATCTCTGACTGGTTTTGCTTAGATGCATATGGTTGTGACACTTGGTGACATGAAAAATGTTTTGTTTATATATTATTATGGTTGATTTATATCATTTATATCAGAGATATATAATATAATATGTCTCTGTTTATTTTGACTTATTGATTATTTATTCATAATTATGGTTTATATACTATTATATTAGTATATTATTGGTTATTTAATCAGAGATTAAAACATGTCTTTCCCTATAATGGTTGTGTCACAATAGGGATCGATTTTGGTACAATTGAAGTACTTACATATTGGTTGGTTTAAAAAAAAAAGACAAAAAATGGTTTTGGAGTATTAATTATCATATCATTCAATAGTCCAACGTAATTTTGAACAACATGAGTACATCTTATTTTATATATTATCATATCAACTATGCTTAATTTGCTGGAAAAGCATTTTGGTTTAAAAGTATTACATATATCGTAACATTCTTTAAAATCTGTAGATAATACAGGATTTTTATTTAATTTTGGTTTCATGTATTTATAGCAAAATGCCAAAACAGAAAAGCAGAACAAGAAGAAAGGCTTCTCCACAAAACCTTGCGGATGATGTTGAAGATTGAAATTTAGTAGAGGAACAACAGAGCCAAGAGTTACCACCAATATATAGGCCACCAGTTCGGAGACGCAAGGGCAGACAAGAAGCTCATCTCAATCAATTAGATCGTGAAACGCCTACACAACAACAGCCGGCTGGTCCAAGTGCAAATGACATTTCTGATGCCTTGTTCTTAAAATTTCAAAATTCAGGCATTCAACTGGTCAAAGATAATACTGTGGTCCCAATCAATGAAGTAACGGGTATGTTGTCGTCACCTAGGCAACCAGAAAACTACTGACTCGCAGGGGCCAATGTTAGATGTTTTTCAGCCACCAATTTCCTCTGATCCTAATTTCAACACTCCTTCTGATGGTGAGCTGCTAAACTCAAGTAATTCAAATGAAGAAACTCCATATGCATGTCAAATGTTGAGACACTCTATACCCTATGATTATCATGTCATGATCAGCAAAATGGTGAAATCTGATGTTTGGTGTGACAATTATGTTAATTTTGCTTTATTGTTACCTTCTAATATTGATGATACATGTAATGATTCAACATTGTTTGAAAATTTAAATATTACAATTTCAAATAGGAAACCTAAAAAAGAGTTTTTGTCCATTCACCAATGAGATCTGCAGCTATATTTGACAGACAAACTGAATTTACAGGTCAAAATAAGAAGGTTTTTTACAAAAAACGTCAAACTCAGGTCCAAATTCTTTTCAAAGGAAGGCCTAGCATCAGTATCTATTCCCAAACGGCTATTGCTGGGCCTTCTGTAAATCAGGGGAATGTACAGCAAAGTTTTGCAAACTTAAACACCAATGTGTACACTGCAGCAAAAAACACTTTACCCTTAAGAAGAAAGAGGAAAACAAGCAACCTTTGTCAAAACTTCCAACACCAATAAAGGTTGAAAATCTTAATCATTTTTAGCAGATTATGAAACCCAGTTGAAAGATAAATTGATTCACGGTCTTAGCTTTGGATTTTCAATCAATTTTTGTTTTTCTACACCCCTAAATAAAGAAATTTTTCCTCCAAATCATAAAAGTGCAAGGGAGAATTATCATGTTGTGCAATCAAAACTGAATGAAGGGATTGAAGCAGGTAGGGTTAAGGGTCCTTTTACAAAAACCCCTTTCCCTCTTTTTGTATGCTCCCCTTTGGGGTTAGTTCCAAAAAAGGAACCCACTTCTTATCGATTAATACATGATTTGTCATATCATTAGGGTGACTCTGTAAACTCGGGTATTTACCCAGAATTGTCGGCTGTACAATATCAAAACATTGAGACAGTTATAGATTTAGTCCAATCTTATGGTTCAAAATGTCAGATGCCCAAAAACAGATATTAAGCATGCTTTTCGCTGAATTCCAATTGCTAAAAAAGATCATCATCTATTAGGTTCTCATTTGGACAAACAATTTTATTATGATGCCTCCCTTCCAATGGGGGCTTCTTCCTTGTGTCAGCTGTTTGAGTCTTTTTCTACAACCCTCCACTGGATTTTAAACGCTAAATTTCAAATTTATGAGTTAGATGAGTTTTTCTATGTCGGCAAAGCTGGCTCAAATGAATGCTATAGAGCATTACAAACTTTTCTTTGTCTTGCCGATAAATTGGGGGTACCCATTATATCAGACAAAACACAACTTCCTACTACTTGCTTTATTGTCTACGGTATAGAAATTGATTCTACACAGAAGGTTGCTCGGAAAAAATTGAAAAAAAATTGCTATTATTCAGTAAATACAAATGTAAACGCAGTATCTCACTTACAGAATTGCAATCCCTACTGGGTCTTTTAAATTTTGCATGCGGAGTAATCATACCTAGGAGAGCCCTTTTACGCAGGCTTTTTGACCTGAATATAGGCCATACATCTCTTTATTATAGAATCAATCTTAATTCTGATGCAAGATTAGATCTGAAGTTATGGTACAATTTTATTGAAAATTACAATGGTAAATCTTGTTTTTTATTCAAAGAATGGGTTTCATCAGATTTTTTAAAACTTTTTTCTGATGCTGCAGGTACATATGGTGGTTTTGCTGCTGTTTTTGGCAGCAATTGTTTTTCAGGTGAATGGCCACCAGTGTTAGTCGATTGACACATTACAGTGAAAGAACTTTCCCAATTTTTTTTAGCTATTGATATATGGGGTCCTCTATCGGCAAATCATAAAATACCGTTTTTAACAGATAATTCAGCTGTTGTTGAAATTATAAATAAAACATCATCTCGGGGAAAGAATATTGTGAAATTGATTCGAAGATTAGTGCTAGCTGCATTAAAGTACAATATCTATTTAGAGCCAAACATATTCCTGGGAAAACCAACGTTATTTGTGTCTTGTTGTCTCGTTTTGCGTTTCAGGAAAATTATCAGATTGCTCCTTTGTTAAATCCAACTCCTGTGGCCATTCCACCTCAATTTTTGCATCTATGACTGATAAGCTTGTTAGTGCATCATTATCTGACGCTACTGTATTATCATATAATAGAATGTTAAGTGTGTATTCAAATTTTTGTCAGAACTTTTTTCCAGGAGTTATTCTACTACCATCTACTCATGTCATGGTTGCTCATTTTACTTCACATTTGTTTATTCAAAATTATCAACCATCTACAATTGCATCATACATATCAGCCATCAGTTTTATACATAAAATTAAGTTTTTACAGGATCCAACAGACACAGTTTTTATTAAAAAGATGTTGAAAGGTACAAAACAGTTGAGACATTCTGTTGATACACGGTTGCCAAAAACATATGATATTCTTGTAAAATTAGTTAAGGCTTTACCAAAAGTAATAGTTGGCATTTATAACCAAGTTTTGTTAAAGGCTATGATGTCTATGGCTTGTTTTTGTTTCTTACGTATTGGCGAAATTGCAGTTAAAACTGAGTCTGAATTCTATAGAGTAATTCAAAGGGACGATACAAAGTTTGAAAGAGTAAATGGTCATTTTAGCAATATGACAATTACTATAAATTTTTACAAACATAGTAATCTGCAAAGTAAGACATTATCAATAGCTAGACGTTCTGAGAATCGTCTCTGTCCTGTTAAAGCTATTGAGGAATATCTAAGATTACATAAATGTCCACACGGTCCTTTATGTCGATTTAAATGTGGAAAACCTGATTTAAGGTTTTTATTTCAATTCTTCATTAAAAAGTTTGGTAAATTTCGTAGGTTTAGACACACATTTTTATAAAGGTCACAGTTTCAGAATTGGAGCTGCAACATCTGCAGCTGCCAGAGGTGTGCCTTTAGTCTTGATCCAAAACATGGGTAGATGGAAGTCCAATGCTTTTCAACATTATATACGACTTGATAATTTTCACACTTAAATTTAATATAATCACAGTAGCTTACTCAGTTCATTGGTAGAGGTCAACATGGCTTGCTTTACTTCATGGTGGTTCAATTTTGTAATGATCAACAAGACTGTTTTATGTATGTTAGAATTAGTTTATTATTGTAGAGGTCAACATGGTTTGCCCTGCAAATTTAAGTGTTTTCTTTCAGCCATTTACTATATGTAATGGTTTTTATTTGGTTGGTAGAGGTCAACATGGCTTGCTTTACCTTTCATTATATATATTATTTTCTTTTTTGTTTAATAATCTTTGTTATTTTTTTTGTACAGGTCAACATGGTTTGCTCTACACTTTTAATTGGAATGCAAAAGGTGTATATTGTATTCCATTTTTGGTGTATTTTGTTGAGGTCAACATGGCTTGCTCAATTTTTCTAGTTCTAGAGTTCCTTAAGTTGACTACAGAGTCCTCGGATGGGGATCCCTCTGGAGATTTGTGGCACTTTTTCAACCCCACCTTTGACTATGAAAGTCATTGTCATTTTTGCAGTACTATTATAATTGTTAAGATGTAAGTTGCATTTTAAATTAATTTCTGAATAAATGACATTTTACTCAACTTGTGTTTTATTAACAGCAAACGTAGCTCAGACTTTTTTATCTAGGTCATTTATACCTAGTTTTCAAGTTGTTATCTGTGTCTAGGAATATTAGCTGACAAAATAACATTTATTGTAAATAAAAGATTTTTTGGCTGGAATTTCCGATAATTTTTAGTTTCATAATGTGTAATGTGTAGTTTCATGTGTGTAAGAAGGAATTTCTTTGTTTACGTATATCAACAGGAGGTCAACGACTTCATGTTCAATGCATGATCATCTAATTATATTATCTGATTGGTCAGTTCTTGAGATTAGTAATTAATTTCATATTTCTACATGTGCTCGGACATGCGGTCATTCGCCTTTGTTCTGGGAGAGATAAAAAATCGTTTATGAATTTTAACTGAGAACCCTCCCATTCCCCCCTTCTTTTTAGTTTTATTATATTGGACATTTATTTTTCTTTAAACATCAATGTAATCTAACGACAATAATCATAGTATAGAGTTTTTATACTTTGTATATTTTGGTGAGTTACTTTTTTCAACTCACTTTTATTTTTGTACTTTTTATGATGTTTATTATGTTGGATGTTGCACTTTTTCAACCCCCACCTTTGCTTATTAAAGTCATTGTCATTTATACAGTACTATTATAATTGTTAAGATGTAATTTCATTTTAAATTAATTTCTGCATTTTAAATTAATTTCTGAATAAATGACATTTTTCTCAACTTATGTTTTATTAACAGCAAACATAGCTCAGACTCTTTTGCTCTAGGTCATTTATACTTAGTTTTCTAGTTGTTATCTGTGTCTAGGAACATTAGCTGACAAAAATTTCATCTTAGTAAATTTAGAATTTACTAAAAATATGAAATTCCAACTCTCTCAGGCAAAGTTGACCTTAACTTGTCTGGTTCTTTATGTCCCTTTTGGTCATATTGCTTCTGAAGTTTTAATTTGATTTAACACATTTGCATTTTGACGTCTTTATCAAGCATTTTTCTTGATAAATTATAATAAAGAAAACCTTTTCCGTACTATTTTTGGAAAATACAGTTACACATTCGATAGGCAACTAATGATTGATACAACTAGAATAATATATTGCTCTGAACCTGCATGATATGTTTGCCATCAAACGTTAAGCTTAACATTGTTTGAATCATGTTAAGCTACGACAGTTACTTTTCCTGGTCTGTGCGGTATTGCTTAAAAACATTCCCAGAGTAGAACTGATATGAGACCTTTGATAGTACCTGTTAAAAAGACATTTAATAATGATTTCCAGGCCAACGACACAAATTTATGGAATGATTTTCATCAGGTATGTTCGACAAACAAAGTTAAAAAAATCTATACAATCATCAATAAAAAAGACCTTAACAGGGAGCAAAAAGTATTGTAAGATCTTCGTTCTAAACATGACAATTCAGATGAAATTATGCAGTCATCGAAAGTATCTTAACTATACCTATAGGATTTTTTTAGCAACCAGGAGACAATATCAATATGAAGATATAAGTTTTTTTATAATTGAATGAGACAGCTTCTATTCAACCCAAAATTAGCAAATATACATCCAACAACATCAAAAGAAGACAGGAATCACAAATTTCTGCAATGTATAATGAATAATTGGAAACCAGAGAAAGACATCATATTAACAATAAAAAAGTGAGAGTACTTTTTTTGTAATTATTAATTGATTGCTTCTTTTTCATTAAATGTAGTTTTTACTTATTTCCTTACAGATACTGGGAAGGTTTACAAACTGTTTTTTAAAAATGAAAATACTTTTATTACAAGTACCTACATACCCTTCAATAAATCAGAAGTCATTGGGCACTCAAACATTATGTAAGTACAATGTTTCATTTTATGTTAATATATATATATATATATATATATATATATGCATGGATGCTAGGTACCTTCGCCTCTCAAAAATCCTTATAAAAAACGATATATAGCCGGGTCCTCAAGATGTTCAACAAAATATATTTCTAAAGTTTTTACCACCTTTTGTTCAACAGTAAAAAATGAGCATCAGAAATATTGTGATGAGGTATATTAATCTAGCAGTGTCAATCTGATGTGGATTCTTAAACATTTGAAAAATCTACTTCAAAATCTTTAATCACAATATTTTGTAGTAATATTTTTTTTTATTTTTCAAAAAATCTTTGATTTTTCTACGTTTTATCTTACTATTAACAATGCTCAATTTAAAGATCAACTACACTATCTAATTAAACAGAGCCTTTTCTACAAAAAGAAAAAAGAAATGCTGATGCAAATTCCTTGTTTTAGGTCATGCAAAATCTTACTTTATGAACCACATTTTTTCCACAACAAATACTAATCAAAAAGCTTGATTATACATTATTTCTCAAGATTGGTGGAATACTGTTTCAGCAGTCAGACGGTATTCAATGGGTATTAATTATGCATCACTATTTGTCGACTTGTTTAAGCAAAAATCATACAGAATCTCCGCAAAGACAAAGGGGCCTCGGTGTCCGAGTGGTCTAAATATTTCAACTACTTGCACGTGGCAGGTGAATTCAACTCCAAACTTAATTGATCAGCATTTTGAATGTTCCTACCAAAAGTCGGTGGTCCTCCCTGGTAAATCCGAGTTCCTCCACCAATAAAAACCAATCAATCAATAAATCCTCATAGACAAAAATAGAGCTTATTGCAAAGTTTTTTTTATTCTAATGTCAAATATATTAATGATGTTCTGTCACTCAAAATCCATTTTTTAAATAATTACTTACTTCGTATATATCCCAGACAAATTGAAGTTAAGGATACTTCCAAAAGTAGAAAGTTTGCTTCATATTTTGATTTTTTTTTCTCTCGATATTGACAAAGATGGACTTAAAATAAGAACAAATAACAAACATGATGATTTCAACATTACAGTTGTCAACTTGTCACCACCAGCAATAACATACCTTCTGCCCAATTTTATGGCGTTTTCCCATCTCAGTTAAGGATGTTCGCTCCTCTTGTTTTTGAATTTTTGTCAGATATTCAGAATCCTCTAGTTTAATCGATGTAGTGCTTTTTTAGTTCCGTTATTTATATACTATCAATGTATAACATTCTTTAAAAAAGCTTGTTATTTTGAAATAGAGTAGCGAACATCCTTAATACGTTATGATCGTGCATGTTCACACTATACGGATGTCATCAACAGGAGTGTGCTCTTTACGCAAAAACTAATCCAACATAGTCACGAGAAGAACAACTGAAATCAACACTACTTATGTTTCACCATCACGAATTGATTGACCGATTCGATGTGTCAGTGTCTCAACTCACTAGCGACATGTTTTTAAGTTCTTAGATCTTTAGATACGAGTTAAGTTTTCTTATCTTGATTTTACTGACTGTGTCCTATTCCCTTTTGTGGTATTTTATCCGAGTGTGAATTCGCGGTTGATGCAGGAATATCAGCAGACGCTTATCATGTGGACGCTACAGGTCTCGCTCCTTTTGAAGTAAATGCAATTTCCTTAGTTTTTGTTTGTAACCTTGATTTGTCTCTTCCGTGTCGATTTATAACATGTGAACATACGTAAACTACTGTTGCCTTGCCTTAACATATAATTGTGTAAATTTGAACGGAAATCAATATTAGAACTGCATGCATACTGTTCTTGCTGTTACATGTCGATTACATATATTTCGTTTGTCTTCCTACTTTTTTAGCAAAGCTTGTAGGTTTGAAGGTTTATTTATTTTGCTATTGATTTATAGCAATACCTTAATTTCGTATGAATAAAAAAAGAGAGGCAAAAGATATTAAAGCGATATTCAAACACATAAGTCGAAAACAAACTGACAATGACATTGCAAATAACGAAAAACTATTAAAGTACAAACAACAGTATACAGAAAATTAAAGACTGAACAACAGGAGTCCCTCCAAAAACCAGAGGTGCTATCAAGTGATTCAGAAGGATAAGCTGATTCTGCTCCACATGTGTCACTTGTCGTGTTGCTAATGTAATTACAAATCCGGTGATACCTCTAATTCGGTAGGTCACATTCGAGGAAAAGAGGACGGGATTGTGCGTACGACCGTCATAATATATCAGTCGTCTTCTGTGGAATAAATATTCTATAACGATCAACCAACTCGTAATGGCTTTCGTAAAAATGTCGAAGGAATGATTTCAACTTCAATGATAACAAATAAAACATGATAAGTCTAAGAATATTATTCTGAGTATAGAACAATTATAAAAGTTATTAAATATTGAAAAGGGCGAGTATATTAAGTTAGATCATCACTAAATAATTTTCTCCAATAGAATTGTCTTACACTTTGCCAAAATGTAGATTTTACCACGCCGTTACCGAAAATATAATAAAAAGTATGGGTCACGGTGCGTTTTTTCAAGTTACCAGTTGTGCAAAATTGATAGATTATTCATGATAAACATGTTTTTGTGAATAGAAAGAAAACTATCAAATAGAATGTTGCAATAAAATAGAATGGTTTTATGATATGCTTGTATACGTAGAAAAAAAGAAGAAGAAATGGGGTCGCCAAACTTGTTTTCTTGCTACCAGTAAAAAAAAAAGAGATTTCATAAACATTCCTCTATAAACGTTTTACTACATTTATATGGCTGAGTTGAAAATTGGAATCGGACATAAACACATATTTGGTATTTGTAAAAACATTCTGAATAATACAATAAATCACTTATTTTTCTTTAATGTAATAAACAGTCTTACACATAAATTGCCATTCTGTAAGCAAAGAACTAGATCGATTGTGTACTGCAATTTGACAATCCAAGATTGTGATATACAGTTAATCTACTTTAAGTTAAATATGACTTGACTTTTTGCAAATTTGCTGCCTTCATTTTCTTAATGCACATGCTAACGTCAATGTTACTGTTGATCCTTCATATTTATTCACGATATACCATGATAAGTATGAGATTAAAACAATGGATTAATTCAAACGTGGGAAGGTACTTTCTGTAATTTCTACCAATAAATTGTAAAACTGATACTCTAATTTCAATTTGATGAACAGATTTTTTAGACACATAAATGATTTTCGTTGCTAAATATTTTTCTTTCGTTTGTATGGTGAAGATGCAAATTTTTGTTGTCATAAATGATATTCACCAAAACAAAATCACGTGTCTAACACATGACATTAAAAGCCTGTTTATAACGATGAAAATAGAAAACTAGAAAGTATTAGTGTGTAGACAGTGGAATTTCCCTAGTCAATGATATCAATAGACAGCTTAGGTAGTACCAAAGTAATACAAAACTTTTATCAGCTTTTTTTATGATGACGAATAAGTAAATAAAATGAGATTTTCGAATGGACTGACATCGTAATATCGTGACCTACAGATATTATTACATTAACGTCTGATACATTTGTACTTTATTGTGTTATCACCATAAATCGGATAGAATTGTTTGAAAATACTGTTATTTAGGAGTTTATACATTCCTAGGTCTTAAAAATCAATCATGCCAATACGTTAGGCTAAGCACTTTTCGTTTGGAATTCTAAAGGGAATTAATCTATAAAACAAATACAACGGGTAATTGTTGTTTTGCATTGTATGTTTCATAATAACATTGTAACATTAAAGAAACGAACTTCTTTCTTTAACAGACGCCTGGGTACAAGATTTGGATAATTACTTTTTTTCATTTTTTACACAGAATATCCAATTTGTAATATTTATACCACATACTGTATACTTACATTATACGCTTGACTAACCTTGTGTTTGGTGAATTTATTCACCCTGCAAACGTCCCTTTTATTACTATTCAAACTTAAAAACAATCAAGAAAGCAATTCGAAACCATTTAATTTTAAACTGACATTTCTATGCCCGTGTTATTTAATGCAGGGGAGGCTACTTTTGCCCGAACTTTCATAATGGGGGAAAACAATCCCGGCCTTTTCATGAACTCTTCTGAAATTGTATTTAGCTCAGACGAACCCGAAGTGTTGTTCCTAAAAAGTCATGGACACATCAGTAACCTCTAAGAAAACGTTCGGCCATGGAAATGCCAGTTTAAACATAGATGTTTTCTCCTTGTTGAAGGCCTTACCTTGACTTATAATTGTTATAATAATATTTTCGTCAGTTGAACTCTGGTGGATATTTGTCTCATTGCCAATCATTCCTCTTCTCTTAATTTTACATGTTTTTTATGGTATCAAAACTACACAAATGATAGACATTCCTACGGGTATTAACACTGTGTGTGGGTTATTTTTTCATTGAATGGTTTATATGTAGTAATTAGTATATATAACAGTTTTTAACCATGTCTTACCACGAAAACAATAATGTAATGATCACCGTTAAATCGAACTTTCCGCTATATGTAAGATTTGAATTAAATGAGAAAACAATATTTCAATGATCGCATTCATTCCATTAAAACGTAAATAAAAATAATCTTTAGCAAAGAAAGTTAACACCCAAATGCCACCACATAATCAATTTGGGATACTTTTACTTGGCTCCATCACCATGAAATGTTCCTGCATTTGATTATTTTCCTGTAGATCGAATCAAACAAGGTGATGTGGGGAAAATTCCTACTCATAATAACTACTCGTTAAAAATTGAATCGCTGTCCAGGTGGCAAACAAAAATTATGTTTGTTATGCCTTTTTCGATATAAATGGTTACCTCGCTCAAATTAGTGACGTTTTCAAACCAAGCATCAGTTTAATTGAACATTCAATATCAACAAAACTTGAAAATAAAACTCGACGAAAAATGAAGCCGCTATGAAGGCGACAAGAGTTGATATAAGATAATATATGTAATATAAGTTCCAATCCCTAACACGTGATGCCCAATTTCAGATTTTTCTTGATATCGAATTCAAACAGGGTAAAGATGATTTGAAACATTTACAAATTTGAAGAGGATTTCATAACAAGTGATAGCTGTATTTTGACGATAAGAGTTAATATGAGATACATTTATAAATACCCAATCCGAAAAATGATTCCCCATATCAGATTGTTTTCTGATTATTGTATCAGTAAAAATCTAAATCTAACTTTAAAGAATAAGGACAAAAACTGAAAGTGTTGTTCCCGTGATAAGACATCTTCGCTAGCCAAGGGTTACGATCCACTCCCATCCTCTCCACCCTTGGCGGATTGAGATAGAATTTCGGAGGCACAAGGTAATAATTTTCATTGGTTGCAGTCGAAACTCGCTGCATCCTATCAAAAAGCGCCTATAACATGATCACGTGTAAATGTAGAAAGTGTATGTAAACAATTGTCACGTGCTTATTGTGCAACAAGTCTTTACATCCCTAAACATACGGCTATATTTAGTGACAATTTGAATGCTTTTAATCAATTAATTGAAGTTCCTGTGTATGTTTCTTGCACAAATGCATGAATGTCAACGTATATTTTCGTTTCCTGTTTTACCAAGTGTGTAGAATCTAGACGCTACCGTGTTTTTACCTCCAAATTGAAGAGTTCAAGTGCTACCATTGGTCAAGAATAATGTATTCGGAATAGGCGTGACTTTAATCTACCGATAGATGGTGCAACATTGTTATCACAAATGTTGGCATAATCTGCCAAGGGTGGAGAGGAGGGAATTGGATCGTAGCCCTTGGCTAGCGAAGATGGTGATAAGAATGAACATGCGATAATTTTAGAAGTGCGCATCCCCAAAATCTGGTTCTCCATTTAAGATTTTTCTGTTCATCATATTTATGAGAGATTCATGAGAACAAGAATTGATATGGGATATATTTACAAAGTTGCGGTAGGTATAAGGTTTTGGTCCTGTCTATCAAATCAATACAGTGTTTGGAATGATAACGCCTTAAATAAAGGCAACAGTAGTATACCGCTGTTCAAAAGTCATAAATCGATTAAGAGAAAACAAATACGGGTTACAAACTAAAACCAAGGGAAACACATCAAATATAAGAGGAAAACAACGAAATAACAGACCACAGAAGTGCAACAAAAAACAAACATTAATGCAACATTCATAGAAACGAACTATTAAATAACAAATGTGTTTCGAGTTCTCGTCAAAATTAAATGAAAGATTAAATTCGCTACACTCATGGATGCGTTTGATAATTACATGTATTTACAAATGGTTTGTGGAGGCATTAGTTTTTGTGTAGCTTGCTGACAAAAGTTTCTATGAAACCTTTTCATGAAGCGGACAATCTGTACTGTCGGACTAGATAAATGGTCATAAACATTAATCTTTCAGCAACTTCATTTATATCTAATATACAGCCAAGTCTGGTTCATACAGTTTTTTTTAAATATTGTTTTATTCGATATAATCAGGTTTTACAACCACCGGGTGTGGACAGAGTAGACAGATTTGACACAAATTGGTTGGAATGTTTTGCTTTAGTACTATTCAACTTCATATGTAACTTTTGATTTGAGTCTCGCTAATGCGTTATGTATAAGCAAAATGCGCGTCTGTCGTACTAAATTAAAAAGCATTCTTAACGGGGTGTGTATAACCACCGATTTGATGCCACTTTCGGTTGACGTTTCGTTTTTGTAAAATTGCAGTTATTTTCGTTCAGTTTACTGTTTATAAAATGTAGCCAGATTTGTCTAAACATTTTCCAATTTAGTGTTCTCATTGTTTTGTAACTTTATAAATGATTTGTCCTTCTAAACGTTTTGATTTGAACGTCACTGAAGAGTCTTATGTAGATGACACGACCGTCTGAATTACTAAATTAAAAGGCTGGTATCTTTGAGTTTTTTATATTTTATTTGCACTTAAAAAATCACCAGTAAAAGTTGGATGAAAACTTAAATTAATATAAACACACATATGTTTTTTTTTTTTTTTTAACACTCCGTCTTTATGTGGCAACATTCGATTGTATAAAAAGTACCATAAATATAGTTATTGTTGCATTGTGGTCTTTAGTGTGGTTACCGTTTTTATTCAATGCAAGGATTTAGATTAAGTACACTTTGATATAAATCTGCAAATCTTTTTTCAGATAATACTTTCTTTGTTCGTGTATAAAGGGGTTCATTTTAAAGGTAGATAACATCTTATAATAAAGAGTGAATGAAGTTGTTGATTTAGATTAATTTTGAATTTAGGAATATATCTTCCTCAAGCACAGCTCTGATTCCTTGCCCGACGTTGGCTATTCTTTTTTGTTCTTTGTGGTTCATAAGCTATTCATTTTTTAAAAAAGCTTTGGATTTTCATATATTTTGGCCTCAAACATCACTCAAGAGACATTAATTGTCGAAATGCGCTTCTAGTGCAGAAAACCGGTACCGTTTATGTTATTACAACCACTGTGTCGATACGTCTATTGATTGTCTGTTAATCCCCAAGGGTATCACAAGCTTAGTAGCCAGAACTTCGGTACTGGCATGAAAATACGGATTTTGCGTTATCAAAATTTGCTGTTGCAAAATTTTAGAAATTAATTTAGATTAAGGAATATATCTACCTCATGCAAAGCTCTGATTCTTTGCCCGACTTTGACTATACTTTTTTGTTCTTTGAGGTTTATAAGCTCATCATGTTTTTATTAACCTTTGGATTTCCTCATATAATCATTGTTTACAATTTAAAAGACTCAATGCAGGCTTTTCTTGACAAGTGACAATACTTATGGTATTTGTGTCCTCAAATTTAAGTTGCATTTTCTAGAAGTATTAAAGGGGCATGAAGCACGCAGTCGACAAAAAAATCAGTCGTTTATGATCTCATGATGGCTTATTTATGTTTAAGGATGACTCGGTGTATCTAGGAACAGATCTCTCCGTTACACGTATAAAGGTTATAAACTGTGAAAAGCATAGATTGATTGACCATTGCGTAAAAGATCCTCATTGTGGATGGGATAATACAACAGAATTGATTGAAAATGAAAACCAGTGCTACAACAGATGCCGTACCTTTGATTATTTAATAGAACATCAATTATTGTAAGATTAGTTAAAAGTTTAATATGAATGTAGTAATCATATATCAAACGTAACTAAAAAAAAAGATATACACCTAAAATATACGTTGAATAAGCAACATTGAACGTAATATTTTGTGCATTGCATTTGCGTTAAGATTGATTTTTTAAATACCAATCCAGTAAAAATTCAGCGTTAATATGCAGCTGTCCACTGAGAGAGATATGTCTTATATTAGGTATACGGATCGATTAGCTGTTTTTAATAATGAGGATGACTCAATAAGATCGGACTGAACACAATTAAATCATGTATAACACATTTTAGTTTGAAATTGTGTTTAATACTATTCAAATTATTCAAACCGTCTACACAAACACGTGTCAAGGGGCCAATATGGTGTTACATTTGGTGTGCATCGATTTAGAGGTAGCTATATCTTAAAGGAAATGAATTAAGTGTATTTTTCATTTCGGCAATTGAACACGCATAAATTTATCTCTGAAAAACCACCTACTAACGATGGACAATGTTTAGTATTTTGAATAGCTGATAAATACATTAATAATACGAACCTGATTCAAAATGTATATGGTTTAAAGATTTAAATAAAAACAACGTAGTTATATGTGTATGTGTGTGTTTGTGAGCATATGACACTTTAACAAAATTTCAATAATGGGCGAACTAAACAAAAACCTACATGTATTATTACAATTGCAAAGAATTTAGTTAACATTTGTCAAATTTATACGACTATCCGTTTTCTGTCATCACATTTATTTGTTGGAGTAAAAACTACCTTCCAAAACTGCATTTTCAGATTGACATGTATTTGAGAAAAAAATGGAAAAGCTTAACTCTTATGTCTCACTTCTTTTTTGCTTTTTTTAAGTTTGAAATTTGTTTTCTTTTTATAAATACTTGTGACACTAGTACAAGAAGACCTGCTTAACATTTGTCCCTGATTTTTGATAGTGTGTGTGGTCTCCATTCTTTATTTTTACTTGCAACACATAATGAAAGAATATAAAAATGTTGCTTTCTAAATGTCATTGCGTCCGTAGTAAATAATAAGGATCATTTATTTTTATTGTTGAACACAGAGTTTAATCGATAGGAGTTAATGGCAGATTTGATTCAGAAAAACAATCAAATATTATTATTGTTCAACAATACCATTGCTAGATAAAGCCATGCAATGATATAATCTCAATATTAATTTTCAATTGGACTTTAATCGATCAGTGTTTTTTTTTTTTAATTTACAGAAACAAAACTGGTGTTTATACACATGTGGAGTATGATTTTTCGTTCACGACACCTACAACGTGTAAGTAATAGACAACTTTACTTTTGTGCTTCTTTGTAAAAGGCTATTGAAAAAAAAAACATAAGTTGACATTGCCATCCGAAATATTACTACGATACTAATATATAACATGCATTTAGTTAAATACAACAGTACGCTGTAGAAAAACACTAACGTAAACACATGTTACTAACTACTGATGTTTACACGAAATTGTACTTGATAAAATTGCCACATGAGCATTCATGTTTAATCGAATGTAGTTCGATAGTGTCTGGGTTTATACAAAGACCCGAATTGAGCAATACTGTTCACATTCGTTATTAACAATTAAAAAATATACCGGTATCATAAAATAGTTAATTTGGTAACTCAGGATGAATTGTAAATATAAAGAACAGTAATATGGCTACTAAGTGAATACACAATTTTGTTAACATCCATCTAGAGTGCCACCTTTTCATCATTTGATTCAAAATACTGATCATTCTGTACAAATCCATAGTTTTGATATATATAAAGATGGTTTTATAACAACATATTTGTTTGAATCTACCAACAATGTCCATATTTGTATATCATTATATGGCGATATTATAAATCAGTAAATTGTTTAACTCAGGAAAAATTGTATAATACAAATGACAGGTATATTGTACTCAATGACAACAAAATTTTGTCTCTGTCAATTCAACACGTTCTCTGTTTTATCCAAAAAAAAAACAAACTGTCACTAAAAAAACATAAGTTTCGATATCTGAAGATTGATTGTATAAAAAGAAGTGATAGATACCAAAGGTATATTCAAATAGTGGAATGATATAACGAAGTCGGTAAATAAAATTTAATAAGTAATTACAAAGTTAATAATGTTCTAAAGTTCAAATGTTCGAAAGTTCACAATTTGAGAATGCTTCAAAAGTTCAAATGTTCCAAAGTTCACAAAACGTCACACTGACACGTAAATCGTATTATGATATTAATTCGGTTCTGACTAGAATGAATTCGGATGGTGAGTGAATTCTAGCCTACCGACGAGGGGGGAGACCCAGCGGAAATATTCTGTTCATTTTTCTTTCCTAGTATTTATATGCGGTCAATCTTCCTGGTCACACTGTGTAAGGTTATTAATTTACTGCAGGATAGATGTATCAGCGTAATTGAAATCAAAACGTATTGTATAATGAAGCGTACAGTCTATTAATGAAATGCACATTTGTCTGTATTTATTAATCAAATACTGCTACATATTGTCCAAATGTTATTTTATTACGATTGTCGAAATAATTGTAACACTTCTTGTACACATTTGTCGTTATGTAATTAAATAATAATCTAATCCGTATTGTGTTACAATGACATTAACCGTTAAATAATATTTGGAATGCACCCATCTTACACACGGCTAAATCATATATCATTCGAAAGCACATAATCTATACTTTCTGTTTCGCACGATCGAAAAAAATTCGCCCGGTGCAATATCCATCAAATCAAAATCAAAGGTCAAGGACGGAAAAGTAAGTTTGTTTAAGATGTCAGCACTATTGCATATTCCGGCTTTTCTATATAAAAAAAATGTATGCAAACATGGAAACTTTTAAGAAGGGAGTTTGACAGTTACTTATCAAGCGCACTTTTGAATATTCAAAGCATGTTTTTTATAGACAGCACCTTTTCCATGAAATTCCAGTAAAAATAATAAAACTGAGTAAAAACCTAAATACTTGTTTTTGATTCAATTGCTAATCACTGAAATAAAAGTAAAACCCTTTAATTAGTGCTAAACATCATATATTGTTTGCGAAATAACGCAAACATTTGCGAAATAACGTAAAGGTTTGCGTTATAACGCAAACATTTTGATTTTAACTATTCATTAAGTTTTAAATATTTTATAATCAGAAACTTTTATATTGAATTTACATTTTATGTTTATTATATAATTTAAAAGTAGTGTTTTGTACATATCGGCATGTCCGTTTGCCAGTACAATTTGGTTGAGATTTAGTTAAGAGAAGAACCATGAACACAAGGCCGAATCATTATAAATTATATACATAGGAATAAGGGAATACTTGTAATTATTGCAATTATACACAAATTAAGAAAGATTTTTGTATCAGAAAATTATATAAATTCAACATGAAATAAGATATGGTTATAGGAAAATGTGAATTGAAATGCCAAGGTTTTGATAATTTTGATTTACGGGAAGTGACAAAGTAGAGAACAGCAACAAAAATTTCATACAATTCTGAAACTATAAAGTCGAATAGACAAAATGATTTTTCGGCTTTAAAATGAATTATTTTGAAGGAAAAAAAATGAGTTTTGATTTAAAAAATCGTTTGTTGAAATCTCATTATATGATAAAGATTTTTTAGTAAAAAATCATGGGGTTTTACATTTCGATCTAGTGTGGTAGCTATTTGAGATGCTTGAGTAGCAATTTTAATGTAGAGTATATAATTATAATAATAAAAAAATCTTCATACTATACATTTATTTTAATAGGGTAGCTTGTATGAATTTAACCAATTTTACACATTATTCAAACGAGCGCTTACTTTGAAAGTATATTCAATCTAATTAAAATTAAATTCTTTAATTGCTCCCGTTCTGATATGTCGAGCATCAAGCGCATCAAGGATGCTCGACATATCAGAACGGGAGCAATTAAAGGATTTAATTTTAATTAGATTGGAAGTATATTCAAATTCGGCTACATTAACAGGGTTGATTTTTTAATTTGCTTCGGTATAACTTCAATCTACTGAATATATATATTGGAAAATGTTGTTTGTGCTGTATTTAGACCCCTCTAACAAGAAATTTGTTTTGCATGCACACGTATAAAAATTGCGGTTTTTATCCAACGCTAACATAGGTTTGAACGTTGTTTTCAATTTTGACTTGTTTATATTTTTTCGTTTGGGCTTGTATTTTATTTGCCTTCGGGTTTATAAGATCCGTTCATCCTAATTTGACTCCTCAAAATTCAAGAGTCTATCCTAAATTGAGGTAAATTACATGGCCTTCCAAACACTGTTTCGATTCCTAACATCACTGAAGAGACATTAATTGTCGAAATCCGGATATGGTGAACAAAAATCTTTGCACCTTTGTTTGCGGTATACCACCTTTGCCGCAAGTTTATTGTTTTCTGTTTGGTATGACATTTATAATTAAGATCCATTTATTACACCTTGTGATCCGTTTATTTGGCAAACGCCAATGGCAGTCAGCAGAGTTTAAGAACATTTGTTGTTCGACCTGTTAGTCAAATGCGTTTTGTTAAAATATACTTTTTCACTTTTTTGGTCTTTTGGAAAATGTTGTTTGTGCTGTATTTAGACCCCTCTAACAAGAAATTTGTTTTGCATGCACACGTATAAAAATTGCGGTTTTTATCCAACGCAATCATAGGTTTGAACATTGTTTTCAATTTTGACTTGTTTATATTTTTCGTTTGGGCTTGTATTATATTTGCCTTCGGGTTTATATGATCCGTTCATCCTAATTTGACTCCTCAAAATTCAAGAGTCTATCCTAAATTGAGGTAAATTACATGGCCTTCCAAACACTGTTTCGATTCCTAACATCACTGAAGAGACATTAATTGTCGAAATCCGGATATGGTGTACAAAAATCTTTGTACATTTGTTTGCGGTATACCATCTTTGCCGCAAGTTTATTGTTTTCTGTTTGGTATGACATTTATAATTGAGATCCATTAATTACACCTTGTGATCCGTTTATTTGGCAATCGCCAATGGCAGTCAGCAGGGTTTAAGAACATTTGTTGTTCGACCTGTTAGTCAAATGCGTTTTGTTAAAATATACTTTTTTACTTTTTTGGTCTTTTGGAAAATGTTGTTTGTGCTGTATTTAGACCCCTCTAACAAGAAATTTGTTTTGCATGCACACGTATAAAAATTGCGGTTTTTATGCAACGCAATCATAGGTTTGAACGTTGTTTTCAATTTTGAATTGTTTATAAATAAATATATGTATATATATATATATATGCATGTATTCTCCTCCTCATTATTATGCCATGATATGTGCTAAACACTCAAGCATTTTACTTTGAAATAAGAACAAAGGATGATAAATTTTTATACATGCAGCTTCCTCCATTTGCAGATGATTCCCTTAAAACCTAAATAAGAAATAAGATAAAACAAACGTTTGCGTTATATCGCAAAGGTTTGCGTTATTTCGCAAATGTTTGCGTTATAACGCAAATGTTTTCGTAAATTATAGGAAGAAATATAAAAAAAAATTGTGTGGAGCTAATACGCTTCCATACACTTTCATCAATGAATTCCATTTTTGTTCTTTGTATATATTAATGTAGTTGTCTTTTAACTGAATCCATTGACTTGCCATTACATTATTGAAGAATAAAATATTTCATTTATGTATTATTTATTCATTTACACAAATGAAAGATACCTGAATATATAGAAATTACAGATAAAATATTGTGCAACCAACCTATTAATTTTCGATTGATTTGGATGTTTAGTATCCTCTTCTATAATGCTCATATGATAATTCTGAAAAATTGTATCAAACAAGAACAAGAAATCGCATTTTGTTTAATTATAGCAAACATTTGGAATGTTAATTCTTGCCCTTTGGCCTTGATTAATCGGAAAATGCACCGTACGCAAGACATAAAGTAGAAATAAGATAATAAGCTTTCCAATGATACATTATACTTTTTGAAACATGTCACGCCTAAAACTCGTAAATGGAAAATAAACTGACAATGCCGTGGCAAGAAACGAAAAACAACGAATAGCCAAACAACATTACTAAAGACTGAGCATCACGAACGCCGCCAAAAACCAGGTGGGGGATCCCAGGTGCTCCGGGTAAGCAGATCCTGCTCCACATGTGACATCGTGTTACTCCTATAAACTATGTTGAGAAAATGACGAGAGGGTTCAAAAGGGCTTCACAAAATTATACAATACCTTATGCATTCCGGCATTATAAAAATTTAACTTGAACATTCCGTTGAACATATAATCATAAAACAAAGTGTAAAGTTTATGATTAGCATAGAATATAGCAAGAAGGAGACTGTACAAAAATGGGAACGAATCAACTCAAACAATATTGTTAATATCCGATCACAAATATTTGTTTTTTCCAATGCATTGGATAACCTTGTTATCCGTCATCGAATTAAAAACATTTTTTTTTCAATTTTATGATACCTGCATGTCTATATATATGTCGATCAACAAATGTAAATTTTTAATCATTACTGTATAATGAAGGATAAAGAAATGTTTATGTGTATGTATAGACGTGCTGGAGCTATCTTGGCAAAATGGTCTGCAGCAGTCCTAAAAAGCAGTTTATTTGCTTGTCTGCTGCAAATTTCTTAAGTTAACTTGGAAAGCAGTCAAACAGTCAACTTTAAGCTAACTTTTCTATTGGTTAGGACTGCACTAATTTGTTCGCATGGCGTTAATATTTTTACATTATACTCTATTCCATCGATCACATTTAAAATATATCTTTACTATAATTGCAGGCCCTCCAGACAAACCAAAATATGTCCGTTCAACAAATTCCACGTTATCCGAAATTGACCTCCGATGGGTTTCTGGCTTTTCTTGTGGTTTAGATCAAACATATGTTATAGAATATCAAATCCATCAATCAGAGGACTGGATTAATTCAGAAGTCAATCATGTTGGAGCAGATACCGATCCCCAGATACATACTCTCTCTGGTCTGCAGTCAGATAGTTGTTATAAAATTAAGTTGTCTTCACGAAATGAAATCGGTATGAGTCAAGTAACAGACTGTTTAATTGTATCAACAATATCTTCAGGTAAATTATTAATACTACATAACGATAAAGTTTTTTAGTATTATTTTATAGTCAGAATAAGGAGCAAACATAGAAAGTGCGTTTGCAGTGACTGTTTGTGTGTACATTTTAACATTTTCCAAGTGTACTCAAACAAAACCATTGTATCGACAATATCTTGACGTAAATAATTAATACCACATAACGATAATGTTCTCCTTAATATTGTTCTTTGGTCAAAATAATGAGCAAATATAGAAAGTGTATTTGCAGTGATTTTTGTGTTTGTACATTTTAATATTTTCCGTTTTCCAAATGCAAATGTTACTGCTCTAAGTATACCCAACAAACAGAACACCCGAGTGCTACAAATATTTATAATTTATATTTAAAAAAGGTAAGATAGAAGTCATATTAAGGGTATTAACTTGTTTGCCCCCCCCCCCCCCTCCCCAATCAGTAATTTAGAAATGATAAAATACTATTTTTGTATTATCTACCCTTTGTTTTTATCTAAAATCTTGGAAGGTATCATCCGCCCAGTAATATTGCAATTCTGTGCTGAAATGATATAGCATTGGGAAATATTTTTACAAATTCTTATGTGACGTCACTTTGTGTGTTTTTTTAGAATTTCAAATGTGACGTCACTTTGTGCGTTGAGGCTTTAGCTAACTCGGCTGTGTATTTTTATATGTTGGATTAAGTTGTTTTTATTCTGTAGTTAGTCCCCACTTTGGTTTTATCATGTATATCTATTATATAGTCATTTTATAATATTTACTGTTTGCAAAATTATAAATTATTCTAAATAATAAGGATGTTCTTGTCCCAGGCAGAAAATCCTGGCCGTGTTAGGCGCAACTTTTTGGAAGTTTTAGTCCTTGGTGCTCTTCAGCTTTGTACTTGTTTTGGCTTTCAAACTTTTTTTATCTGAGCGTCACTGGTTAGTCTTGTGTGGACGAGACGCACGTCTGGCGTATTGAATTTTAAGCCTAGTACCTTCTGCTAGCTATTATTCGTGTGTTTCTTTGTCCTATATGTTCTCCCATTTATTTGTATTGTGGTCCTGTCATGTTATGTTGTCGTTTTGGTGTTGTGTTTGACGTTGCCATAAAAGCGGGAGGTTTGGCATGCCACAAAACCAGGTTCAACCCACCATTTTTTTCTTAAAATGTCCTGTACCAAGTCAGGAAAATGGCCATTGTTATATTATAGTTCGTTTCTGTGTGTGTTACATTTTAATGTTGTGTTTTTGTTGTGTCGTTGTTCTCCTCAGTTTTAGTTTGTAACCCGGATTTGTTTTTATCTCTATCGATTTATGAGTTTCGAACAGCGGTATACTACTGTTGACTTTATTGGCCATTTAATGTAAATTTATTTATCATAAAATTTGAATTATTCTAATCGTTCAACCCCCTTGGTGTTGGTTACCTTATCCAAACTTGGAAAATTGTTTGGAATTTTGCATTTTTCATTTTGTCAACATGGCAAATGATCTGACCATCCAACTGTTTTGACCTGGTGATGAGTCTTTAGTAGACGAAACAGCGTGTTTAGTACTAATTAAAAGCCTGGTGTCTTTAATGAAAATATTTATTTGAATCTTTCCGTATTTTATTAAAAAATACTTATTGCTTTTACAGTTAACAAGAAGATACAATCTGGAGTTAAAGTTTGTTTCACAGCAATTACTTTGTAAAACATTCATAGAATTTATGAAAATTTGGCAGAAGTTTTTTTTATGATTAAGAGATAACGTCTGAAGCAAACTTTTGAAAATATATTTGTTTTTATTTTCGGTATTTTTCTGATAGGTGGACTATTGCTTTTTACAGTTAACATTTACAAACTGTTTGAGATTAAATTTTCTTGACATGATAAATTTGTAAACCATTATGGACAGAAGCTAATCAAGAAATAGCATCTACAGAAAAAGTGTTATTATTATTATTTAATTTAGCATTTTACTGATAAATGCACTCACTTTTTACAGCAGACCTTAAAATTTTCTTGTATGATTAGAAATCACATATTCAGAAAATTGTTAAATCATAAAGCATACATGTAGCTCGCTCCACATATGTCATGTGTTGTTTTGTTAATGGTAAGAACATGGTCATTTTCTATAGATTTACTGATTATTAAATGTAAAAATATCACGACACACTAAGGTTTTCTACTATCATTACCTCTTACGCCAATGGCATGAGGCAGACTTTGCACTTTTTCTACCTTTACTTTCTATTTTGTTCACTTTCTTAAACGATTTAGCAATCGCATTGTTTTGACAAGCGCCACTAATGATCCTTATGTGGACGAAACGTTTAACTAGATTTTTGTAAATTTGAAATTAATAGCCTGGTTTCAGTAATGAGATTTTACAGTGAACAGCACCCTTATGCGAATAATGAATAAAGAAGCGAATAACGTATGGTTCATTGGCGTAATAATTGGATATTTTTCGATCTTGATATAGAAACTTGTCACTCTAATCCTGGTGGAGCAATATACAGGTTTTCTACAAGAACTGCGACCTGACATCGACGATTAAAGCAAGTCATAAAAAACGTCAGACGTCAAAGCAATATTCGACTTATTCGAAAAATACATTAATATTTTCGTCTGAAAGTTTAGATAAACGCAATCAATTAATCGATACAAGTTATGAAAATGGACCTCATATCTTATCACAAAAAAATACACTTACAATATATTTATATATATATCCAATTGTGCCATAAGGGCTAGTTTTTCCTTTGTTCTACCTGATAAGAACTGACGGGTTATACATTGTTCACCTTGGACATTGCGATACCTCTGAATATCAGAATCAGAATATCGCCACCGCAATATATACAAATTGTGCGCCGTTTAAAGCATATGCATATATATTTTTGTTATTCATACGAATAAGAGTTACACCTGAGTATTAAAAAGTATGAAAAAGTTAGCAAAGTTAAATTATTCATCGTCTCAGTTACAAAATATTTCGAAGATAAATTTGACAATGTCTGAAAGAAGAGGATTTCTTTTAAGCTGTGACCTTACTACAGTCACAGACACTAGTTACTGTTTTTATTACTGAAACGATCATTTTAAACTGAACAACTCTTAAATGTCTGAATTAATCGCAAGGAAAAATGTCAAGATCTTTGTCATTTATTCAGTACGTGTTCAGTACCCCGATCCGTGCAGGAGATTTAGTACAGTTCAGTACTGACTCGGGTAATTAAGAGAAAACGCCTTGCATTCGATTCAGTAGAGTCAAGAACGTTTTCGTATAAGTCAGTACATCGATAAAATAGTTGTTTGGGAATTTTCAGTAGTGTTCAGTGCCAGGTAAATCTATCGATATTGACTTAAAATAGTTTGTGCAGATTTATAAGGCTTGTCTCCCTTCATTCGCGCTTGGACTATAATTTTCTGTACATTGATCGATTTCTCAATGATATTGATTTCTTTCCGTGACAAATACTTCTGCTTTGTTTAATTGTTCAAAATGAAATATGTTTGAAAGTTAAATGGTTATAAATTACAATGAAAATGAAATCTGTTGTCGGAATTGCGTATTTTTTTTACTTAGCTTTAACGTCGGAAACGGCTATTGAAAAAACGCAAACCTTTAAACTGGCAATCCCCACTCTCAGTAAAAATCGGGTTCTACGTACAATTTTAGAACTGTATATATCTTGCTGAAAAAATCGCTAACGTCAAATTTATTTTGTTATTGTGAATATCAATTTTCTCTGTGAATGACACGTAGATTTATGAGAATAAAGTTCATTTATTCACTTTTCAATTTATATTTGTTTTTATGTTTATTCGATTAAATGATCATGAAGTATATAAATCTGTTAAATGTGACCCATTAAATCAGCCCCATTATAAATATTGCAAATACTTCATAAAATATGAATATCATCTACTTTAAGAGTGTGCGTTATACACCGATGCTTTTAAAATTTTGTTCACTTTACTTGTTGAAAATTAAAACATATACAAATAGACACGACTCTGGATAGGCAGAAGTTATAAAATACAGATAATGCATTTTTGTAAACATTGTATAGGAACATTGTTTAGCAAAACAAATCGTGCATATTTCAGATTAACAAAGCAAATAAACACGTATTAATAATTGATATTTCAGTATTGAATTTCAGTGTGCAATATATGCATAATATATGCATAATAAAACGAACATGAATTAATGACATTTGATCGGAACTGAAATACACATAGTTAATGTTCCGGTATTTGATGTCTTATCCTGAGACGAGAAAAGTCTGTAATTCTTTATCTCATTTAAGCCAATAGCTGGTGCTGTATCTCAGCCGCATCATAAAACAACCAATTAGAATCTATATGTGATAAGTAATTATTTCAAGATGGCGTGTATATCGACTGAAACTAATAGCTCCGCACCGTGATGCGAAGTAAAGAATAAAGAAAAATGAACCCAGAAAATAAAGAACAGAGAATAATGAGGTGCTAAATTGTATAATTATTCCTATGTATTACATGTATGTAAGGTTTTTTTTTACTTGACCCCAAGATAAATAAATGAATAAATGAATATAGTTTATTTTCGCGTTTATACTGAAAAATCTTGGAAGTTTTGTTATTTGCTTGTCGATTGACCACCGAATTAGTTGATAGTTGTCTCAATGGCATCATACAACATATTCTCAAGTATATTTTGAATAAGTCTGTCAATGCTAGTGGCCGTTTATAACGAATAACAATATCAATAGATTAATGTTTCTATATACGTAAACCAAATATCAATTGTTTCAAGCTTCCTGTTTATTTTCTCTTTGTATTGTGTTTGATTGTTCTTTTAAGTGAAAATTGAAAAAAAAATGATTTTTTGATGATTTACTTGGCAGTTATATTGTTCAAATAAATAAACGAATGTCAAGTATTAAAATTTTTTATTTAGCAAATAGACTTTATCTAAAATAATGTTGTTTTTGTTATCCCGACATGCATTATGAATTTAAGAATATATTGGGAGA